ACAGTAAATGAAGTCACATACTGGAGATACCAGATGCGAGTGCATTCTTCAGTCTGATTTAACCAATTCAATTTTTTTAAAAGTTGAGCAACTAAGCTTTCTTACATCCTAGCATAAAAAATGTACACTTGAAAGAACTAGGAAGTAATAAATACTTGCATCTTTTTGATTTGGTGAAGAATTTTAAACACATTTTTTCATATAAGTTATGGAGGCACATAGTTTTATTATGTAGATGGTACATGTACTAAATCAAATGGCCATAAAGGTTTTAACTAATCTGACTGATGAAGATAAACCTTTAAAATTACATTATTGTAAGTACATAGACAAAATTTGAAGGGGAAAAAAACACAGCAGAGTACACACACACACACACACACACACACACACACACACACACACAAACTTTGAAAATTGAATTACTAAAGGGAATTAACTGAAACTGAGATATTGCAAAAAGGCATGGCACATGGAATTAAAACAATCTACCCCTGTGGTCAAAGTGTTTCTGTTTGAAATTTCAATGTATATCACCTGAAGAAGGCCAAAGTATACAATGGCTGAAATGTGAATATGGCAATTTTTTTTTTTTTTTGCAAATAGATTCTACAGGCAAAATTCCTGCTTGTTTGCATAGCTGGCTTACCATTGCTTTTTGTTAAATGTTGAATGTATTTGTATATGTGTTTACCATCAGGTATATTAAGAACATTAGATGATGATTAATTGTGGCATGAGTTTGGGATTAGTTTTTTTTTTATCTAGATTTGCTTTGCTTATTGCTACATTGAATATTTAATTACACTTGTTAATTAAGAAACTATAATTATTCTGGTTATTCCCTCAGGTGGCATTATTTTTTTGTATTTAATATGCTTAGTTCACTCACTAGATACTACTTATTACTGAAAAACCAAATATTTGAAACTAAAGCCATGATACAAAGCTTAGAATGGCTCATGATCAAACATAAGACATTTGTTGTCTGTTATATTTAACAATATGTGTTTAAATATATATATATATATATATACATACACTTAATAGAAATCTTATAAGTATAAGAAACTATAACTCGCGCGGAAAACCTTCGGTATATTGATTTGTAAATAAACAAGCCAACACCAAAGGGGGGGGGGAAAAGGTACAAAAAAGAAAGAACCAAGAACATGTACGTTAACTGAAAATAATCGTCCAGCATACGAGTTCAAGGCCCAAAGAAAAAAAAACCTCGATGTGGGTATCCAAAACAACTAAATAAAGTGCTCAATGCAATGAGTGGAGCAGACCTAGTTAAACCTCGAGAGCCAGACAAACCTACCAAGGTTTCACCTAAGCGGATCGTCCTGGAAGCCAGCCTTCCCTGATGATCTGCTTAGGTGAAACCTTGGTAGGTTTGTCTGGCTCTCTAGGTTTTATATATAACAAATTTTTTTTTTTTTTATCGTATCACCACCATGCAAGACAGTAAAGCCACTAAGACACAAGGGGTTACTGAGAAAAAAAAATAAGAAAACAGAGATATATTAGTAAGGTGCAAGGACAGTAGATAATGATTAAAATTGAATTTGAATTTTTGATGTTGGCTGGAAAGCATGAAGCTAGAAGAGAGTTCCACAAGTGAGAAATGCAAGAAAAGAATCTGTTAGTATAGAACTTGGAGTTACGTGTTGCCAATTCAGGTGTAAATTGATGAGACTTTGCTTGCAATCTACTACTGCACTTAAATTCATAGAGTTCATCTGAACAATTAAATGTCTGATGGTGGAGGTACATTGATGAAATATTTCAAGTATCTACATTTTTTTTTTTAATCTCCTCTTACTCATTTTTATTGCAGCAGTAAACACCAGCATGACACAAAACTATGGTTTATAAGTTGATAAATTTTAAGAGTTTAATGTCCATAGTTCTATGGTGGCCATTGTTTATGTAAATCTATTACATATTTACATTATTTTTGTAATGTAACTCTCTCTCTTTTTTTTTTTCTTCTTCTTCTTCTTTTTTTTTTCTTTTTGTAAGACTTGATTTTTCCAGAGGATCAGTAAGAGAGTCACAACTTTGAAATCTGGCTAGGGAAATTTTCAGCTGAGTATCTACTTGATATGCTTATACAATAAGACAAAGATTTGGCTTAGCTAACATGGTGAACACAAAATAGGGCCTGGATTAGCAGTACACTTACATTATTAAAAAGTTAGTTTTGGAATGTTCAAAAATGAATATGTTAAAAGCATACATAAATAACCACAGAAATTTGGGTGGCTAGGGTGGTTCTTCAGTTAATGATATGGACAGACAGACATTTGGTAAATTATAGTCAAATTACTTGTGTTGTTTTCTGAATATAATGTTAAAATAAAAAGAAATTCCTTAAAATTTTTACATCTTAACCATTGCATGTCATTGATCTAAAAGGATTTTTTTCTGCATTACTGATGATGATAGTTTGTCTTTTTCCTATATCTAAAGATTTCTTGGCAATCTTGAACTTTTGTGCCCAAAAAAAAAAAAAAAAAAAATGAAGTGTCAAAGGGACTTTTCTCTCATTGATACCACTATTTTTTTTAACTACCTTCACTCCAGTGTTTGTTTCAAAAAGCAAGGATTAGAATTGTAATAAAGCTTAAACATATGAAAGTGAATTTATACATAATATTAAATATTATTTATTTATTAGATTGTTTATTTTCAAGAATAATTTTATGTTTACAACATTCTAAAAAGTAATACAATTGTATTAAAACTAATGCAATACAATCTTTATCATTTATCAACTTATAAAGAAATACGAAAATAATTTTTTATTCATAGATTTATAAGCACTTACTAAATTATTAAAAATATATGAACCAACTATAAAGAAATCTTTATTTACCATTTTATAAAGTTTGAATCAATTGGCAGTTAGCTTATGTTTTAGCAACCATTCCAATAAACAATATAATATACAGTGTAAATAAACAAGCTAATAAATATTGTTTATTATTTTTCTTGTCTATTCTCAAAAACAAATAATAAATTCACTTTCATATGTTTAGGTTTTATTAAAATTCTAAACATTACTTTTTAAAATAAACATTGCCATTTGACTTCAAAGCTGTGACTAAACTCTTTCTGTAACTCTGAACTAAAAATTTTCAAGATATCTTTATACTATTTGTGTAGCTTAAATTCTACACAGCAGGGCCAGTGCAAGGGTTTTGTGGGCCCCCACTGAATTTATGATACTTACCCCTCTTCTACTACATCTCAATTTTCATAAGGTAGTATTCATATAAAATACAAATTTTATTGTAACCTATGTGCAATAATGGATTATATGCAATTTAGGTAAACAATTCAACTAGAAAAATTGAAAATAAATACAATGTATCTAAATAAAAATTAGAGACATGTCATAATAGATCATTACATCTTAAATAAATCAACAATATTTTGCAGCAATTTTTAACATCAACTTGAGAATTTTCTTGTTAAAAAATTGAATAATTTTAATACATTCAACATTATTGATAAAAACAATGAGAATTTTATATAGTGTTTTTTAGACTGAGCATGAGCAAAACAAATTTACAGATTTGAACAGCCCCTCCTCCCAGAATTACGTCAAAATTTGCAAAAAATTATCATCCTTTAATATTTGCATTTATCTTAATTTATAATATATATAAATTTAGGTAGAAAAAAGCAAATGTTGACAAGATAGTGAGAGTTACAAAGCATTGCATGGGTTCCAAAACGGTCAGGGTGTTTAGGAGTAGTATGCATCAGCCCTGCTGCCCAGCCATTGTTTTAGATGTATGGGTTGAATAATGTACTATAAAAATCTGTGAATATCAGCCTGCTTTAAAGATTTTAAAATTCCTATTTTAATTGGTAATAATATTGCTGGTATTCGAATTTATAAACTATGTAATTTATTCATTAATATATTTTGCATTAGATAGTCAAATTAAATATTAGGAGGTGCCGAAAAGTTATTGGCCTGACTCATTTTGATGATAAAACTTGAGTTTTGGTGGGGAAGTGTTAAAGAAACTTAAAGACGTCTTAAATATATTGAACTCTTTTTCATGGCTCTAGTTCATTCTTCCTGCTCATCTGCATCCTAAGAACTTTCCAACACTTCATTGTATTATATACATTCTGTATCTGCTTAATATATAATGACAATTTGTATTTTTAAAGAAGATGCCATTAAACTGAATATTTTGCCAGAAGCTTTTATAAATTATTAAAATTTTAAGGGATATGATTCTTGGTTATTTAAGAATTATTCCAGTTTTCAATAATAAATTCAATTTTGGAGATAAATGGGATAAAGAAAACAGTTAAACTCACAACCAAACTAAATGATTGCATTGGCACTCTTTTCTGTTTTTCTTTTTTTCTTAATCATTTCTCCCTAAACAAACAAGTAAAGACACAAAGTCTTACTGAATGTGGAAGAATAAGAAAAAAGAGAAACATTATTAGGAAGTGAGAACAATAAAAATGGAATCTAGAAGACAGTAAATAATATTTGGTATTTGTCTAGTACAATATTGTGAACCAAATTTCCTAGCTGTAAACTGTAACAGTTGACTCAATATAATCTTTCCACTTCATGTCCGTCAAGAATGTTAGCCTGAGAAGGCACAATAAGTCACGCTCTTGGAGGTTAGCATCAGCCATACTGATGGAAGGTATAAAGGAGTCTCTCACATGACTAATAGAGAGAAGTTTTGTTTTGGAGGTGTTAAAATTAACAAGTCATTCCTTGCTTAAGTTAGCAGTTGGTCTTTTTTTCTTTTTTTTTTTTTTTTTTTTAAATAGATTGGGTGTCAATTTCACCTTATCAAACTGATCCGACTTTAGTATTTATTTAATATTCATATCAAATTTAGTCATATGATATAAAATTTTCTTTTGTATGAAAGAGACTAACAAACATGTAGTAGATTAATCTTCTATTTTAAGTGTTATTTTAATTGTTTCTGCTTTATTTTTAGGATGGGTTAGTGAAGAGCAATATGGACAAATTGCTTTTTTATGCTTTATCCACACCAGAAAAACTGGATAGGATAGGAGAATACCTTGCCCAGAGAGTGAACAGGGATATTCACCGGCATCGGAGAATTGGGTAAGTAACTTGACATACTCCTTTCTTTCAAATTCCGAAATTGTCTCACACACACACACACACATATATATATATGTGTATTCAGAATGCTGTTTATGGATATAGACAGTGTGAACATAGGAATCCACGTTACTTGGTGATTCGGTTTCATGCTTCAATGCAATCCTTAGTGTAAGGATCACTTGAGCTGTAAAATTAAGTCACTATGGCGTGTTGATTCCTTCGTCTGTGTGTGTGTATATATATATATATATATATATATATATATTTTTATTTTTTTTTTTTCAGTAAGGTTCACCCTGTACAAGGCCCAGAGGCTAATCAAGGTAGAGGGTTATGATAAGGGGTCGTTTATATGGATAGGAGAAGATAATGGCAGACTCTAGACCTGAATAGGTTAAAATTTTAGTGATTGGGAAAACATCCACTATGGAGTCTGTTCCATAGAGCAGTGATTCGCGGGTAGAAACTGATTGGGTGGAACATTTCTCGCTGATGGGATATGGAAGGAATGCGGGTGGCTTGCTACTATGAAAGTGCCATGACAGGTCCTAGCCATGAAGATCTGATGTGATGGAACCAGGAGATGCAGTTTGCCCGAGCACTTTTCATGGTAGTAGTGAGAGGCTCATCATATTCTGATTCTGAGAGGTTGAACGGTGGAAAATAATTTTTTTCCCACAAGGACTTGGAGATGCTTTTGAATTTTATCAAGACTGACTTTACACTCTTTCTGGCCTGATCTGGCTCTTATAAAGGTAGAGGATAGAGGTAGAGGAGTTAGGTACTTACTTGAGTGGTTCAGGGAGCTGATCATTTTATCTGCATTGTTAGCAATATAGATTATATGTATATATATATATATATATATATATATATATAGGAATTCCATGATGTCCAGATGTGAGGTTCAGACTCTTGAGACATGGGAGCCTCCTCAAAGGGAAGTCTGTTCATTGTGACTGGCAGTAGTTCGGGGTCTGATCGGCAGTGAGGGAACGTAACCAGTTTTAGAGGCATTGAATGTAACCAGCCAGTTTTTTCCCTCTACTGGGAAGTTAGTGTTAGATCGAAAGAGAGATCAACTGTCAATCTCTGATTGTCAAGACTTTGAGGTGCACCTGTATATTGTATCATTGGCATAAATGTTTACAAATGATCAGAGTATATTCTTAGGTAGATCATTTATGTAAACCAAAAAGAAGGTTGGTCTGTGAAGTGACCCCTGGGGGATGCCTGTTAGGAAGGATTTTATAATAAAGAAAACCCTTCCAGTAGTTCCATAGCTGGAGAGCTTGTGTGTTGTCAAGGCCCTCACTAATTCTGTGTGTAATGGTAGTTGGGATGTCAGCAGTGGATTGGGCTGATCAAAACCCATACTGGATGTCGAAAACTTCTTTACCAATGTCTCAGTTGAGGAAACGATCAACATAATCAGTGACTGTGTTGACAAACACCCGATAATATCCCCATCAAAAATCCAACCCGCTATCCTTCAGAAACTACTCCTCATGTGTACTACAAAAGCTCAATTCTATGACCATAATGGCAACACCTATATCCCAACTAATGGTGTTAGCAGGGGAAACCCTTTAGTCCTTGCTTAACTTTTACATATCCTACATTGAAAAAAAAAAATGCTTGAAACAACCGATAAACCTGAAATGTTCAGAAGGTATGTTGATGACATTTTTGTTTTGATAAAAAATAAAGATGAAATTGCTAACCTAAAATCGACTTTTGAAAAAAGAAAAAAATGAACACTAAAATTCATATATGAACTTGTGGTACATAACTAAGTCCCATTCCTGGACATTGGGATAGATCTAAAATCCAACAAATTTACCATTCACTCGTATAAAAAACCTGCCAGTATGAATTCTTGTCTTTTAAATTATGATAGCCAATGCCAAGCAAGATATAAAATAGCAGTAATAACAAACTTCTTAAACAGAGCAAACCAAAATTCCACTTCTCAAAAGATATTTCTTAGCGGACTGAAACACATAAAATAAATACTAGTCAACAATAATTTTCTCAATTATATCATTAATAAACAAATAAAATTATTACAAAAATATACAACACCAGTAATAAAAATACAATACTACAGACATCAACATATTTCATTACAACCAGATGTATAATAACTATAAGCAGGACAAATTTACTAGAAGGAAACTTATTAAGCACATATTTCTGTTATAACCCCTAATATACATATAAAGTTTATAATACATGAAAATGGATGATCACAAACCTCGTTGTCACTAACCAAAATAACCCCACGAAAACTAGACTAGTGGTGACCAATATAGTGTACCAATTTCAATGCCCAGTACAAGACTGTGTTACTTGTCAAAAAGCAC